AAATATCTTTAGAAACTTCTCATTCAAAGTCATCCTAACTTGAGTTGTATAACGTCACAGGCTTATTAAAACAAAAACAACCAACCTCCCATATAAGGAGCCTTAGTGGTTTTAACTATAACAATTTATTCTCTCTCATAATTTCTGTGGATCAGGAATTTGGGAGCAGCTAGGTTGGTCACTTCTAGTTCAGGGTCTTTTGAGACTGCAGTTGGATGAACAGTCAGAGCTGCAGTCATCCAAAGGCTTGACTAGGGTTTGGATTTGCTTCCAAGTTGGCTGAATCAAAGGGCTGGCAAGTCAGTGCTGACTGTTGCTGGGATGTCTTCTCTAGATGGGTTTCTCCATAATGCTGCTGAATGTCCTCACAGCATGGGGTCTGCCTTCTGACAGAAGGAGTGACTCAAGGGACCAAGGTGGAAGTTGCAGTGCCTTTTATAACCTAGCCTTGAAATCACACACCATCATGTCTAGTATTCCAGTGGTCATGCTAGTTAGCTTTGACTCAGTGTGAGAAGGATGCCACAGGGGTGTGAATACCAGGAGATACTGGGGGTCATCTTGGAGGCTGACTACCACACACATCAATGAGAAAATGTTCATAAAGAGCTCAGGGTATCTGCACTGAGCCCATAATATGCCATGGTGAGAATGAAGAGCACATATAACTCACTGCACTCAATAAATGAGCCCAGTTTCCTGCTCTGGTCCAATCTTCTGCTTTTGCCCAGTCATACGGCCAACTGGTGTTTGAGCCAGGAGAAGAAAGCAGATTTTCTAACTTCCTTCTTCCTGGTCCTCTTTCCCCTAGAGGAAATCCCCATAAAGATGCAGAGGTTAGGGACCACTTGCTGGTCCTAATAATGTAGTCACCAGAGTTGAAGATGAACAGATGTCTTATAGGGAAGGGTAGGGAAGTTGTTAGAGGATTCTGAATGTCAGACTGAGGAATCCATTTTCCTTTGACGAAAAAGCTGTAGGGAGCCACTGAAGGGTTTTGAACAAGAAAACAACTTTATTCAAACTCATGGGTCAAGTTCATGCTCACAGCTGCGTGCCACAGATTGTGGAGGTCTCTGAAGGAAGCAGGCTGTTGGAGTAATCCAGGCACAAGGTGATGAGGGCAACAGTAGTGGAAAAGAAGGGGACCAGGAGACATGGTGTCTAGGAATCCCATGATGTACAACCTGTGGATTGAGGATTGAGGGAGCCGAATCAGAAGGCTTAGATGAGGCTGTTAAATGGGCTAGAACATGGCAGTACTAATGATATTTGCCTCCGTCCATCCCCACCTCCAGCCCTGAGTCTACTCAACCTACAATGTAGGAGGCCTAGAAACACTCATTACATCTTGGAAGCAGGACTTGAAAAACAAACAGTCTGTCTTTCCTCTCATTTCTAGCTCTCCAGTGTGGAAAACAGATGCAATGAAGGACCAGACAGAACGGAATGTGCCCAGTTCTGAGCGCAACCCAAAGGACCCAGCCCTACTGAAGGGCTCTCTTCCCAGGGAGGAGGGTGCTGGGGGTGGAGGTGTCTTACTCAAGGCTGTCAGTGAAAACCTTACGTCTCCTATCAGACCTGTTCTAACCACCATCCCTGACCTCTGTCCAGGTAAAAGCCTCCCTGCACACTGTTCACCACAATGGATTCTCTCCTGTTACCTAGAATATCCCTGCTAACTTGCCTGCTTCCTCCTCTAGCCTGGAGCTCCCTGATAGCAGATGCTGTGTGTGTGCACCTCATACCCCTGGGGCCTGGCCTAAACACTGGTTTTCCTCTCTGAAAAAGGGTGACAAATATAATTTCATCAGTTTTACATCTGGAAACTAAGGTTTACAGTCACAAGCGTTGCAATCTGGCCACCAAAGAGCTGAATTCACTGCAGCGAAACGGCTCCCTTTACATCATGGATGTTGTGGATTTATCTTCCAGATCTATCTTCCAGAAGAGGACAGTAAGTGCCTTGTTCTAACCAAACCAGTATGTCTTCTAAAAGAGGGAATTTACTTGAGAAAGGGATACCATTTTTCTAGTTGGCACAAAGGTTCCATCTGGGCTAGCAGTGGCCCTATCCATAGATAGGTTTTACCTGGCCAATATAACATTTTAAAAGCTGGATTGGAACAGCTTTAAACAGGGCACATGCTCTCCAGGTTACCAGTCACCACCACTCCCTCTGGTCTTATACTCTTCACTACTCTTTATTCATCTATTTACCTACCTAGCCCCTGAGGGCATATGAGTTTCCAACCCTGCAGCATGGCACAACACTTTATAAAGCAATCCTTTCCACCTTTGGGTAGCAGGTGTTTGCAAAGTTCTTACACTGGATCAAAATCTTCCTATAGCAACTACCTATCCATCCTACTTCAGGGATCCTGCAGGTCCTATAGTATAAGCATGATCTTTGTCTAAAGCATGCCCTTCACCTATTTGAAGAACGCCATCAGATCCTAAGGCCTTCTCTTTTCCATTTCAAACATACCATCTTCGTTCACCTGTTTTATTTGACACTGAACTACCTTACCATAATCAGAATGTGCCCTGTTATCCTCTTAAAGAGGTGTGCCCATAAGAAGAAAAATTTTGCAAGCTTGGTCTACTCCCCTGCAATTCAAAGCATCATTTGGGAGCTTGCCCCACTCCCACCCCCACCCCCAGATCTACTGAATCACACCAAAGTTTGGACAGCACTGATCTAACCAACTCAGAGGAGAACACTCTTTTTCTGTTAATGTAGCCTAAGATTATATTAGCTTTTAAGGGCAATTATGTTACACTTTTGACCCTGAGTTTCCTGTTATCTGAAATCCCTAATTTTCACATTTGCTGCTAAGCCACACCTTCCTGTACTGTACTGTAGTTGTACTGAAGCATTTAGCAGTCCAATTATAACTTGATTAGTTATGCATGTGCCTAGACTAAGATCCTGAAGACAAAGCACAGACCATGTTCATCTCTGCCTTTGGTGCCAAGCGAAGGCCCAGGTACATAATAGGTGCCCATTAAGAAGTAACAAAATAAATAAATAAACAAAACAGAAGGAAGGCATGGCTTAATCCAGGGCTCAAACACAATGACAGGGACTCGTACTCTCCATTTTTCACCTTCGCTTCCTTGGTGTCAGCTCTGTACTTGCTGGGAAGGCAACTGACAGGCGTCCACCATAACGCTCAATGTCTGCATCTCAGTTTCCTTCGAATCCTGTAACTGTTTTCCAGGATGTCCAACATTACAGCAATCACTAGCATGGGTTATTGCCAGTAAGTTCTATTTTTAAACACCACACAAATTATTATGCTCCATCACATTGTTTCAGTGATTGACTTTAAAGGGCCCTGGCTTAACTCCTCCTGGAATAATACAGCAGTCACAGGAGTTCTTTGGGCCACTCCAAAAACCACTCCAGAGTGGTTTGCCACACATAATAGAGGGTGCGCTTGGAAGGCAGCATCCAATGACCAGTTCTGGTTGAAAACTTTTGTGTTTTTCAAAAGTTCAATAAGCAGCAAAAGTGACCACAATGTGTTTGAAACTTAATAGCATGTGTCTTCAGGAGACAAAGTGCCTAAAACTAGATGGAAAGACATGTAATTTTTAAAATTAAAAACTGTAGACAGGAGAGGTAACAGTCAAAGTAAAATAAGCATGAATACATTTTCGTTTCAAAAATAAAACCCGAGGTATGGGGAAAATTGTAATATGGAATTCAGCAATCTGTGTTGGTCATACTCCGTTTTGCATGTCTGCTGTGCCTGCTTCCTTTGGGTCCAAAGGCTCTCAATGGCTGGTCAAGCTTAGCTGGGAGCGGCAGCAAACCAAAGAGACCAGAGGCTGGGGGTGCAATTTCTGTCCTCAGCTCGGTAATCAGAGGGCAACCTGACCACCGCTAGCCTGTTGGTGGATGGACCAGCACTGGTCCATCACTGCTTCTCAAATGAACAACTTAAACCCATGCTTGTTGAGCCTCCAGGAAGGAGGTCAGTTGTGTGATTGTTTCAGATGGAAGGCGGTACAGAACCTGTACCCAGCCTACCCCATTCAATCTCAGAAATGTTTGGTGTGGATCCTGGCTCTACCACTTTCTTGAGGAGTAACTCTTTATAATCACTTACTCACTCTCAGCTTCCATTTCCTTATATGTAAAATGGGGACGGACAATGATACCCCACTCACAGACTGGTGTAAAATTAAAACAGCATCATGTGACAACCTACAAAGGCCATCGTCTCCCTTGTGCACCACCCCCACCCCCAGCTCAGTACCATCGGGCGCTCTAACTTTGATAACACGCAACTGAAGTATTTTGGCCTGATTTTGGCCTGACCACAGATGGTTCACAATTCTCTCTGCTCCTCAATGCCTATAGCACTTAGTTTGCACAATCACATATATGTGTTAAATCATACCTTCTAGCCCTGCAGTAACTGTAATGAGGGGGAAAATACCTTTGAAAATGCTCACGTTTTCACATAGATGGAAAAACAATATAAAATGACCAAAAGAGCATGGCTTCACCCCTTACTGGATATAAAACCTTAGGCAAAAATTTAATAGTAGGCATCAGTCAGTCATGCTTTGAAAAATAGCAGCAACACAAATGCCTCTCCTACAAGACTGTCAGGTCCTTGAGGGCAGAGAGCTCGTTTACTCAACTTTATATTCTCCTAAAGGCCCGAGTACACTGGGGGCATGTTAGTGATACGCTGAAAGGAAGGATAAACTGAACCACCTTGAAGGGCTTATCACCTTGGAAGGTTTAAGAGGCTTCTAAACTGTTACAAAAGGAATGATATAGGTGGGATGCAGCTAAAATGCAGCCCCTTAAAAATGGCAGGCTATGAAGTCTGGATTTTAATCTGTCCAACAAAATAACCTATCAACTCTAAGCAACTGCCTACATATTAAACTTCACAGAAACATTAATTTTGTATCCAAAGAGACTTTGTCTTTCTGTAACTAAAAGGCGGATGGCTGAAAGCAAATTCTACAAAAAGTAATTTAAATAGATTTATTTGTGGGAGAGAAACATCTGAACGTCAGGTACAGTCTGATCCACAATGATCCAACAATCTGTCCTAACTCATCCTGGGAGTACTCTTAAGCAGTTTGCAGGAGAAATTCCACCTGGAGCATCTGCTGAACATTTATTAAAATTCATAAAGCCATCTAACCTGAGTATCACACAATACATAACGACCATGATATACTAAGAAAAATACAATATCAAACACTCACTACTTTATGAATTACAAGCTACTAAATATAAACAATTTAGGGCCTTTTTTAAAAAGTGAAAAAAAATATTACTATTACAGCTTTATTTCAAGCATTTTCAGTTAGATACAGCTTTATATGTTTTCACTCACAATAAGATAGCAAAAGAATGTCTTCTTAAGTATCTGTAGATAAAATATACAACTTGTTTAAATGTTTGCGCTCTGAAGTATACTGTGCCATGTATGAGTCCTGATAAGAGAAGGAAACTGCTGTGGCAATAAAGCCGGCTGGCTAATCAAGACTTGGATAGTTTTCATACGTGTTTGAACAATTTACATCAAGGCAAAAAAAAAAAAGTGAAGACAAAAAGAGAACCAACTTCACTCTTTTTCACTGAAGCGGTCTAACTCCAGAGAATAGGCTTTCCATTTGGAATTCAAAGTGTGTGGTCCCGAGTTGAATTCTTTCCAGTCCAAGGAGCTGCCTGGGGCTTGGAGGCAACACTGATGAAGCAAGCTGGGAGGAAAGTGTTAACTGAACTACAGAGATGGTCACTGATAAAACAAAGTTCCTAGAAGTCTCCGGGTCTACAGAGGTGAAGGGCAGCCAGAACTATCAATACAAAGGGAAACTGCTCTCATTGAACTGCACACATAGAGCTTCTAGGAGGGTTAACAGTTCTTGACATCGGTTCCTGGTTGTAGTTTACAATATCTGCCTTCACCACCCTCTGTCATAAAAGAAAACAGAGTTATTATCAGGAAATCAGAACATTTAGAAACAACTCCTTAAAGTATATTTTTATTTTAGGAACTTTGGTGACCTCCTGAAGATAGACATCATAAATGAAGCGGGAGCTGATATTGAAAGAATCAACCAGAACAAACTAATGTAGAGTTGGGGCTTTCTTGTTTTTTGTTTGTTTGTTTTTTTAAGGAAGCAGCAGCAACTGACTTATTGAGTCTCCCCTGGCTGCATGACATTAACTTGAGGTTATCACAAGCCTCATAAAAAGTGACAAGTCAATATGAAAAAGTAAACCCTGGTTATAATTTAAAGCAAAGGAATTAAAATGAATCATCACACACACATTTTAATTTGTAGAGAAGACCATTGCCTCATCATTTCAAAGTAAAAAAGTCATTACTTATTATATAAGCCATTATATAATTTAGAACATTTACAGCAGTTTGTGAGTTAGTAAGAAGAGGTATAAATGCTAATGAGGACACATATAAAGCAGATATGTTTTGAACAACCCAATTTTTAAAACTTTCCTCCCAAACCCCTAACTTACTCCCAAATAGCTTACTACTGGGCTACGAATAATGACTTTGACAAAATATGGCAAAAATGACAAGTTTAGAAAATTACATCATATTTTTATAATTATTTAAGCCAAAAGACACTTTTAACTCTTCCCTCCTTCCTTATAACCACATTTCAAGGAATATCTTAAAAGATGAATTTAGCGATATGCCCTAATCTCTAAGTAATATTTTAAAGTAAAACAAATCTTTTTCTGTTTTCAACTCTTTTACTAAGTCTGCATACACAAGGAGAAAAAAAAAACTAACTTTTAAAAAAATCTATAAAATACTCTTTCAGTTAGCAGGTTATCTCAGATAAAATAGCAAGGAATGAATAATGAAATAACTGCGTCAATTCTCCACTTCACTACACATGTAATAAACACAACCATAAAGACAAATATGTTTAAAAGTACCTGAACTGTTATTTTAATTTGTTCCCAATTTCTTGTTTAATTCATAAGTTTCCTGGCAAAGAACCAATTTTTCAAAGTCCTAAAACAGTACTTATGCAATATTAATTCTCAGGAATGTATAATAATTATCTCAACTTCTCCACTCATAAGGAATAAAGAACAAGATAGCATTCACTATTTCTCCCCATCCTTCTCCCCAAATTGCAATAATTTATCCATTAATACCTGAACTACTGCACTGAACAGATTTTACTCTGAGCAGAGCTGGAATGTTGATTATCTTCTTCCGGATACTTCACTATTTCTGCCCTGACAATACGCTGTCAATTCCGTGCAACATAAGCAAGACAAAAAAGGAAGAATGCAAAAAAAAAGGAAAGAGACAAAATGGAAAGTATGTTCAATGGTTGAAAACAGAAGGGATTACTAAAGCAGAAAAAGAAAAAATTAACATATAAATTTAAGATGCCACAAAAGAAACAGCAGAATGTATATATATGCAAAAGGAAGGAAAAGGAACCAAGAAACATTGTTTTTTACAATTCTATTCAATTATTGAAATAGATATGTCCACTGGACTTCCTTGACAAATTGTGAGTTCTATTTTTGATACCACAATTACACACAACATATATAAAGCACAGTAATTCAGAGGACTCTGAAGGATTATAGGGCTTTTCTATGGTAAAATGTAATAAGTGAATTAATTCCATTTCGTTTGACAAACATTACTGAGGATCCACTATGTGCCAGTCACTCTATACTTGGAATGCATGGGTGAATTCCACAGTATCTGCTCACAAGTTGCTGTGGACTTAATGGTAAGAAACACACATACACAACTAATTGTCACACAAGATAAGTGCTTTACTAGGGGACTTATAATATGTTGTGGGAACATAGGAAGGAGTAATCAATTTTCTTTGAAGGTGGGGAGAGGAATGTAGAAATCAGAGAAAGCCATATGCCATTTACAGTTTTTAAGTTTAATAATATTTATTACTTGTCAAAGACTTCCTTTTGATGCTAACACCCCCATCCTCCCAATCCTAACCTCCATATTTCCAAATTCCATATAGAAATAAACAAGGTCAAGATGTGGTTGTCCGTCATTTTTTAAAAAATTTATTGAATACAAAGCTTAAATACAACAGCTGTTGCTTTCAAATGTCTAAGAGTTTTGCTAAATAAAGACTCAAAATTACTGTTTTTTTTAATTGCTGTAATTCTTAGGATAAAAAGACCACATATGACACATATGTGTAAGAAATAACAAGCTCCCTAAATTTTTTAGACTTGAAACTATCCTCACTTATCATAAGATTTCATATATCTTATCATTTCCAAAAGCCCTCCTTCCTAAGAGCATCTATTAACTTATTAACACATACAGAAAAATATTGTAAAATGAGCTGCTGTCTGTGATGACATCTTTTAAATAAAGACTGGAAAAACAATTGACAGTAAATGAACAGGATGCTAACTTACGTGAACGTATTAGCCTTAGGTGCACTCTGCTTAAGTTCTCTAGCAAGTAGTATTAACTCCTGGACAAGACTCATGATTTATGAGGCACTCAGCCTGATGCTATCAAAAGAAGCATTACCAACCACCAAATGAGGTATGGGGGGGTGGATATGTCAGTGCAATGCTGAATACTTTTATATGACCTCCCCAGACCTAATTGTTTCATGCCAAACTTTGGATTACAACGAAGAAAAGGGATTTTTATAATCAGTAAGCAACTCATTAATCCCTCAAAATGCTGGTTAAAATCCTATCCTATAAACACAACCAGATTACTGACCTGTGGTCAAGACATTTTGGTCAAAGTACTGACTAACACAAATGACTTGGATTGCCATCATTTATTTTCATCAAATTAATGAAGAACTAACAAGGCAGCATCTTTCTTGTGGGCCCTGACTGTTTGACATAAGGCTTTGTACAATGTCCCTGAAGTGGAAGCCATAACCAAGGCTCCGCAGATTCTAAACTTTGCTTTCTATGAGCAGAAAAACATGTGTCATAAACTTCATGGTAGGTGGTTTCACAGTAGTCAGCTTGTTTATAAGTCATTTATTGATGTTTTCAGAGAAAATGTTACCCACAAAATACCAACTTTTATTTTTGGAGCCAAAAAGCACACTTGATTATTCTCTGCTATTAGTCAACGGAGTGAAAGTAATGAGGTGGCTCCAAGAGGAAAGGAGTCATGTGGTGGAACACTGGCTTAACCCTTATTTTGTCAAAGAACAGTTGTTAGTGCCTACTGGTAATGGAAGTGGTAGCTATCCAGAGGGAAAGCAAGAAAGCAACCTAGGGGCTGGGGTAAAGAGGTATAAGAAGCATAGACTCTTGGGAATACATTAAAGATAAAGTTGATCAATTCTGCAACTGCATCTTAACTCAGACTGTAGTAACATATTTTCCACTGCAAAAGCCATAGTTTGTCATTCTCAATATATGGAGTAAACACACTTTGAAGGCTAACACATGTGTCACTATTATTCTTTCAAAGCCAAGCACTATTCTAGGTATTGGAGACATTTATATAAATAATGCATGATCTCTGTTTTTGAGATGTGAAAGAGTCTACAAGGGAAAATAGATGTGTAAACCATTAAAGAATACTATGATTGATATATGGAGCCCTGGTGGCTAAGAGGTTAAGACCTTGGCTGCTAACCAAAAGGTCAGCAGTTCGAATCTAACAGCTGCTCCTTGGAAACCCTATAGGGCAGTTCTACTCTGTCCTACTGGGTTGCTATGAGTCAGAATCAACTTTATGGCAATGGGTTTGTTTTTTGTTTTTTTATGACTGTGCTGCAAGATTACAGATTACCATTTAAAGCATAGATACAGCATGTTATAAGCATGGTACTTTGCAAATAATACGAGCTTTAAAAAAAAAAAAGCTACTTGTCTTCTTTTTCCTTATAACAGGCCATTATATGCTACAAGAACATCCATAACGTTGGGCAAGTTGTTTTATTTCTTTGGTCTTGACACTCTCCTAATCTATGAAATGTCAGGTTTAGCTACATGATCTCTAAGGTCCCATCTGCTTTTGAAATTAGGTGGAAAATAAATTTAAAGGAAAAAAACAAAATGGAATGTGACATGGACATCTGTTAAGCAATGTTCAATATTTGAGGGTTAGCGTAGTACCTACAAAGTATATGCTCTGCAAGGAAGACAAGCGGTATGTAGTGTAAGAAAGGAATTCCAATGCATCTTTGTAAACATATTGGAGAAAATGATAAACAGATTAACATCCAGGTGAGAAGAATCCAAATTCTTAAGGGCTACAGTATTGAATATTGACCAATATTCAGATAAAGACAAAAGACAAAAGAGTCCCTAGGAACAGGGGGTTAAATGGGTGGCTGTGTTGTGCGGGTATGTGCTAATAAAGATTCAGCTCAAATCATGAGCAGGCCTACTACATGTCGGGTCCTATGGTAGACACTTTCATCGTATGAAAATACTGAAGGAACAAAAAGGAATATATATCAAGTTTAGTGAATGTCTCAGACTTGACAGAAATTTTTGTTTTGAAGAAACTAATACATACCTAGTTCAAACCAAACTGAAATTTTTAATTCGCAAGTGAAAATTACAAGGATTAAAAATATATTCAGACCTCTTAATACCAAGTAAATATGGCAAAACCTACATTCTTGTTATGATTCAGACTGAAAGAGACAAGACATAGGACTATGTATTTTCTTCTTAGATTATCTAATGCATTATTACAGAACTGAATGCTGGACTTCCTAGAGAATAGCAGTTGAAATTTATTTTTCCCCCTAAAAGTTTGACTACTTTGTTAAAAAAGAAAAAAAAAAATTGAACAATCTGGGAAACTAGAACACTTATTACTACTTCCAATTTTTACACTATCTTAGAGGGGGCTAGTTATGGGGAAAGAGATGGAGACGAGATACATGATGCAAATGACACTACTGACTAAACTGGGAATTGTGAAAAGTGCGTTTCTAGTATACTTAAGTGTTTAAATATTTGACTACCCCAGATATCCTGCGAGCTCTTGAGGACAGGAACTTTATCTTATTCATTTCTGTATCTCCAGATTCTAGTGTGGTCTCTCCAAAAAGCAGACCTTCAAAAATGCTTCCTGTACTAATAAATTGTATTCACTTTCTTTTCTCCCTCTTTCTCCTTTTCTTCCTTGCAAAGCTTGCAAAAGATGCTGCTAAACAGGAACAATCTATGTTAGAACTAAAATGGCAGGATCTCTCTAAATAATCAGTAAATGGAACTAAGACAAAGCCCTTATTATAAATACCATATTTTTTCACAAATAACATGCCCACGTAAATGACATGCCCACACATATAACACTTAGGAAAATAATGCTTGGGGGTGGGGGGAGTTGTGTGGTTGGCAAAAACATATAACACATGTTGTTTGTGCAAAAATACGGTATTTATGTCACCAACTAAATTACTATAGCATCAGTTTCTATGTGACTAGTAAGTCTAGCTCCTTCTTTATAAAATAATACTAAGTACTTTCAAACATTACCTCGAATCATTTCAGGCATCTTTCAAAATGGCACCTAAACCACAGAAAGCAGGCAGCATACAGATTATCTGAACTTCCTTGTCTTTTAAATAAACTTTCAAAAATGTTTCCACTGAGCAATATCAATTGTTAAATTAATAATTTAATTGGCAAGGGCACCAAATTACATTATATTAAGTCATCAGGTTCAGAAAAGGATAATGAGGCTTCCAGCCACACAGAAAGGATTTTGACAGACGTAATAAAACAGGGCCCTGGTAGCTTAAATTCCTCTTCAAACAAATGAATTAAAAGTAAACTTTACTAACAAACTAAAGAATTAAAACTTGTAGCATAATAGACAAGACAGGTGTGCTAATAACAAGCAAGGTGGGGGTGTGCAGGATAGAGAGCTGTTACAGGTAACACATCTAATATTCTTTTAGTTAAAAACCACGTGGGTGTTAAGTCCATCTCTAAAAAAAGAGTAACAGTGCTGCTCTTGGCTCAGAGGGAGCTAAGAATATTAGTAAAGCTTCTCCCAAATTTTGCCTTTCAAAAGCACCCAGGTTACTCCATCTCTTTGAAGGTATCCTTGAACCTGAGCACTGCCAGCACAGCTCAGGCAGCAAATCAGGTTCATTCTCAGTGTAGCTGGCCTGTGAAGTGCCAGTGTGCCTTCCCTCTAGGCTGAGCCCACCAATCACTGCGTTTCTCCTTTCCCTATTTCTCCACGCAAGAAATCTCAGGGTTATCCTGGACTTCTCCTCTTTCTTATCCAATCATCCCACAAGCCCTAATGATTCTTCTCTGAGATGTCTCTTACATCCATCCTTCCCTTCTGCCCTGATTCTGGTCCTTATCACATGACAACAGTAACCTAGCCTCCTTACCTCAATCTCCTTCCCATCTAACCACACAGATTAAAAAAAAACAAACAAACAAAAAAAAAACTCCCATTAGATAATCTGATTGAGAAACTGCTTTCATTTACTCTTGCTTAAAAAATGATTTTCCACTGTCTATAAATTAGATAAAATTCATCAACTTGGCATTCACAGATCTCCAGAATCTGTTCTCAAACTCTCTTTACACCCTGACACAAATGCTCATTTATTTTAAGCAAACTGCTCTTCTGTTTCCAAAATACAATTTAAGCTTTTCTATCCAGGTATATTGTTCCAGCCAGCTTCTTTTTCAGCATTCTCTTCTTGCCACTCCAAACTGCCCAATACACCTTCCCTCAATATGGCAGATTGGAAACAGGGCCACAAGTATCACATAAATCTGAGTTCAAATCCTGGATTTATGACCCCTTAACCCTTGGTCTGTGGGCAAGCTATTTAACCTCTCTTTAGTCTCCATTTCCTGCCAGTAAACTGATGAAATTCCACCTGGCCCCCACAGTTATTATGAAGATTAAATAGGATAACATACTGCCTGGGCCATAATTAGTAATTATCTTCACTGAAGCAGGTGTACATTTTAAACTTCGTTAAATCTTCTTTAGACCCACTACTATACTGAGAATATATGTTCAATAAATTGTTCATGATTGTTTGATAATCATTCATGGACTTTCTAATTAACCAGAGACAAGCATCTTTTAGGAAGAGAAGCCAAAAAGCACAGGAATTCCTTGACTTCTGTGTTCCTCCAAGGTCTGTGAGATCGTGGCAGTACTTTAACAGCCACCTGAAGCAAACCTCTGTCTCTTTCTTGTATCCTCTTAGGGCAAAACCAAGTTAACTATTTTGATGTATCTAGGAGCAATTTACATGGCACAAAATATCACAGCACTGTGCCTGACCATAATAAGTGCTGAAATAGATGTCTTTCGAATGATTAGGAATAAAAGTAGCAGATTTCTAAAAGCTCCAAGTATTTTAATTAAGTCCTAGAGACAACCAGATCGGCATAACAATTTTCAATTGATATTTGCTCTAATTGCTTTAAAAACACATACACAAAGAGCGACCATGTGGATAAGACATAGAACTAACTCTAAAAGAATTAGAGAGAAATTTAAGGGTGGGAGAAGATAATTATACCTTTTTAGTTGCATGGGAATGCAGGTGGAGGGAACTGAAGGAAAATGCAGTTCATTTGTTGCTTTTAACCAAACCACTTCTGAAGCTTAGCTTTAAACTATAGGCTCTGGCTCTGATTTTTCATTCTGTCAAACATGTGAATTGGTGTGCTACTACAGTGGTATTTTTAAGTGCTTGACTGTTGGTATTCGTGTTTATTTCTTACTCTAAGAGTACTGATACACTATATTTTGAGGGAGGATAAAAAGCACAAAGAATTATGCAAACTACACAAACCAGAAGAAAAATATGATTCATTTAATTTGGCCAGTGACCACTCCTTTAAGAATTCTACTGTATTTTATGATTCTTGGTTTAAGGTTACTCTTGTGTTCCATATTCCTGGACTATTTTTCACTGATGTAATATGATCATCAACTTAGGGAAACAAATCACCCTTTAATAGTTTTTTTTTTTTTTTTTTAAGATATTCTTATTACTACATTAATTAAGCAAAGGAATTTTAAAAACTCATCATCCTTCCTGGAGTTCACATATTATTTCCTGAGCCTAACATTCTTCCCAAATTCTGATATCGTGGTTCAAGAAATAGGAACACATTACAAATCTAGGTACATAGAATTTTCTAGGAATAGAGAAAGAACTCAGAAATCCTTAGTAATTAACGACTTTATTAAACTAACAGTAAAATAACATCATTACAAGGGATGATGTTTCAGAGATGAACAGATAACACAGATTTTTTAAAAAGTGGAAAAAATAATGTTTCACCAAAGCAAACACGGAAGATGCCAAATAGAGTAAACCTTCTCAAATTAGGATTAAATTTTGATAAACTGTTGTGATTTTCTATGAAAGATAAATAGAATATTTAGTGTACAGTAATCCTGGAAGAACCTAAATAAACACAAAACAATATGGCAGGCACCTTATCCATTGTTTACTGTTGATGAAATTTTTATTATATTAATCTTATTTTCCAACAAAAAGAACAAAATGACGTTTCAAGGATATCATACTTCGGCAAAAAAAAAGAAGGTAACATCCAACATCTTTTGCAATAAACACTGAATTATGCAATCTATTTCTAAGGCTGTTAGAGATGTGGACATGGAATGCATAAATGGTGAAGGATTCATGAGTAAAAAATAGTATCTTGTTAAGAAAATCTATTATTTTTAAAAATATACAGTTCACAATAATCACCTGTGACTGTTCTATTTCTGCTTTGTTTAATTTGATTCCAAGAATTTCAGCAGCAACTTTCTGAAAACACAGGAAGACCTACATAACAAAAATAGGTTTGAATGATTTAAAACAGGCATATTTAAGTTACCTTCAAATAAATTAAACTTTCTAAAAAATGATAAACAGCAAGAATTGCAAAAATATGATGTACCAGGTGATTCCAAACTTAGCTTTATTTGGCAAATACAGCAATATTTTAAATGTAGCAATTTTTTAAAATGATAAAACCATAATTTACAAATCCATGCAATTAACTGAATTGGTGTAAGCTTACACATAAATTTTTAAAGATTTATCAGAAGACAATTAATTACAGACACTATATCAACAAAATTAAAAAAAAATTAAAACAAACTACCATGAGTCCTACAGAAAATGAAAATAGTGTATACTTTCTTGGTTCTTCACTGCCAATTCTATGTTCATCTTTTGATCTGGCATTAGCCTATCCTAAAAGGTCTCTCTTTCCAACCTTTTAATAACTTTTGTGACTCTCTTATCAATTTCAACAAATTCTCCATATCTTTTGACCAGGACTCTTTTACTGTATTTTATCAGTCCAGAGTATAGGAGCAGCAAATTAAGTTATAGCTAAACAAAACTCAAGTACTTTCATACATAGCTTATGCTGGGTCTACCATGATTCCCAGAGCTCTCATACAGACATTCACTGTAGTGTATAACTGGCCTTTATTTCCTAGTGCCCTACCATATTTTTCTACCTGTTCATCTCACTATTACTGAATATTTACTGCAACTTAACTAATATAATTTTGATTTCTAATCCTATTATTCAAAGAAATGCATATCCCTGAAAGGCTTATGTCATTTGCACCCCCAAAAAGCATAATGCATTTTGTAGTTCACCAATGGTCAATATTCAAGGAACAATAAGAAAAACTAATGTAGTGGAGTGAAGAGAAAGAACTGGAGCATAAGAGATGAGGAAGGCTATTAAGGGGGTGCAAATCATGTAGGATCTTGTATGTTATTGGAAGGACTTTGGCTTTTACTCTGAGTGAAATGGAAGCCATGGTGGGAGGCTTGATGTGACTCCTACTTTAACAGGATCAATCTGGTTGTCGTATTGAGCATTCACTACAGATGACCAAGGGTACAAAAAGAGAAACCAGGGAGGAGACTATTGTAAGAGATGATGGAGGTTTGAATCGAAGCAGTAGCAGTAGAGATGGTAAGAAACAGTCATCAGATTCTGTATATACTTTGAAAGTAGAACCAACAGGATTCAGTGACAGAGCAGATGTGGGGTGTGACAGAAAGGATGTGAGAAGAGTTCTGAGCGGGCAGTTGGATATACGAGCCTGGAGTTCAGGAGAGATGTTTGGGCAAAGCCATGGCACTAGATGATGTACAGATTTTGATGTGGTCACTATGGAAGTAAGTTTAGAAAAAGAGGTATCTAAGGACTGAGCCCTAGCGCATTCTAACATTTAGAGGTTGGGAAATTAGGAATCAGCAAAGCGGACTGAGAGGGAGTAGTTAATGACGTTAAGAGAAAAAAAACCAGGAGGTGTGGTATCCTAGAAGCAAGTGAAGAAAATATTTCAGAGGAGAGAGAGATCAACCATTTTACGTATTGTTGCTAAATCAAGTAATATGAGGACTAAGAACTAACCACTGGATTTAACAAAAGGGATGTCATTGATGGTCTTGATAACAACAGTTTTGGTAAAGTATTAGGGGCAAAAGTCTGGTTGGAATTATTCAAGAAGACTGGGAGGAGAGAACTGGACACAATAAAGAGAGATAACACTGTAGGAGCATTTTGCTGGAAGGTAAAGGAGAGAAATAAGTCAATAACCAGAGAAAGATGTGGGATCAAGGGAGTTTTCTTGTTGTTTTGAAGTAGGAGAAGTCACAATATTCTGTGTGCTGATAGAATAATAAAGCAATGTCCTTGACTAGGCAAGGAAAAATTGGATGTAGGTCGATGGGTAGATGAGGTAGGAGGGGTCTGTGGAATCTGTCTTCTTTATTTCAAATTTCTTATAACATAGGAAACAAGCTCATCAGCCAGAAGTTAGAATGTTTTAAAGATTTGAAGGAAAAAGAGAAGCTATGAAATAGTCTAGGTGAGGAGGAGAGAGAATGGATTAGGAACATATGCTATAATTACTAAGCAGCATGAAGGGTCTACTTAAGGTTAGTGAGTATGATTTTAAAGTGAATGTTCCATCACGCCTCTGTGCAATCAAGATGCATTGATCATTACTGGTGATTGGAATGCAAAAACTGGAAACAAAGAAGAAGGTACAGTGGTTGGAAAATAAGGCCTTTGTGATGGAAATGACACCAGAGATTGCATGATAGAATTTTGCAAGACCAATGACTTCTTTATAGCAAATACCTTTTTCAACAATATAAACGGTGACTATACATGTAGATGTCACCAGATGGAATACATAGGAATCAAACCGACTACATCTGTGGAAGGAGACCATGGAGAAGCTCAATATCGTTAAGCAACAACGCCAGGGCCAACTGTGAAAGAGACCATCAATTGCTCAATGTAAGTTCAAGTTGAAGGTGAAGAAAATTAGAACAAGTCCATAGAGCCAAAGTACGACTTGAGTATTTCCCACCTGAACTTAGAGACCATCTCAAGAAGAGATTTGAAGCATTGAACACTAATGACCAAAGACCAAATGAATTATGGAATGACATCAAGGACATCATACATGAATAAAGCAAGAGGTCATTGAAAAGACAGGAAAGAAAGAAAAGACCACAATGGATGCCAGAAGAGACTCTGAAACTTGCTCATGAACATAGAGTAGCTAAAGCGAAAAGAAGAAACGATGAACCAAGAGAGCCAAACAGAAGATTTCAAAGGTTGTCTTGAGAAGAGAAATTAAAGTATTATAATGACATGTGCAAAGACCTGGAATTGGAAAGCCAAAAGGGAAGAACACGCTCAGCATTTCTCAAGCTGAAAGAACTGAAGAAAAAATTCAAGCCTTGAGTTGCAACACTGAAGGATTCTACAAGGAAAATATTAAAAGATTCAGGAAGCATCAAAATAAAATGGAAGGAATACACAGAGTCATTGTACCAAAAAGAAGTGGTCAACGTTCGATCATACTATCAAGAACTGATGGTACTGAAGGAAGAAGTCCAAGCTGTACTGAAGACATTGACGAAAAACAACTTGACAACACTGGGTTTTATAAAAGAGAAGATACATAGAGGAAGGATGCCATGTGATGCTGCAACTACAATCCAAGGAACATCCGGAGTTACCAGAAGACAGGACAGAGGCATGGAACAGATTCTCCCCCAAAGCCTCAGAAGGAATCAGCACGGCTATAGGAGTCTCAGCCTCCAGAACTGTGAGACAATAAATTTCTGTTGTTTAAAGCACCTACACTTTGTAGTATTTTGTTGTGGCAGCCCTAGGAAACTTATACAGCTGATATCACTAATATATAAAATGGTTGTGCAATTTTTAAAAAATTAAAAATTATAAACACATCATAAATGGAAGAACAATAGCTAATGAAGCTTTTAAAATTTCAACCTCAATAGTAATAAAAAAAAATCAAATTTAAATAGCAAAATATCCTTTTTTTTTTTTTTTTTTTTGGAGTGGGCTTACCAATTAGGCAAATATTTAAAAATAAATAAATAAGTCCTGAATGTTAAAAAGGTACAGTGTTAAAACACTCATGCAATGCTGGTGGTAGTATCAATTAACAGCCTTTCTAGTGATTTGGCAATATGTTTCAATCCCTTTTCTAGGAATATATCCAAAGGAAATAACCAAAAAATTAAAAGCTTATATATAAAATTGTACATTAGAGAATCATGTCTAAAACTTGGAAACAACCTACATGTCCAACAATAGGGACTTGCTTGAATAAATTCTTAAAATAATATTAAATGATATAGAAAATATACTTCAGACAAACACATCAAATAAAAAAGTAAAACACAGAATTATTTCTATATGATCATTTGGTGAGCCCTACACTCTTATCAGTTGGGTTCACAAATCCTGTCCCCACCACTAATTAGCTGTGTAACCTATACCCCGTCATATCATATAACCTCTTTAAGCTTCATCTATAAAGTGGAGATAATTATAGCAGTACAATGCCTGTCACAGAGTAAGCAAACACTCAATGAATAAACACTCAATAAAGCACTAGTATTTGTGAGCACCTGAAACAAAACTAGAAAGAATCATGAAGTTATGAATAGTCATCTCTGGTTGTTGGGATTAAAGGGATTTATATTTTCTTCTTCTTAAGTCTCTGTATTTTTAAATTCCCTAAAGTAATCACAAAATTATCTTAAATGAGTTATAAAAGTAGTATCACCAAAACAAATATGTCATATTGAATCTAAGATAGTTTATGTCTCCAGTATGAATTAATTTGCTCAAAAAGTTAACAGAAGAGATCTCCCTATGAATGTTAGTAAATAAAAGTGAAACATCACTTACAATATGCAGTATTCATTAGTTTACTTACAGAGTCTCCTGTCTTGGCTGAGACAAAGTGGCTACTAAAGCCATTTTCCTGGCAAAACCGCAAGTGTTTTTCAGGTTTTACTGTTCGCATGTGCTCCAAATCAACTAGAAAGGTGGTAAAAAGAGAACAAAATTCAATATTGAAGCTAATCAATATATTTTTTTTATGTTTAACATGTTTAAATTTTATTTACTTTCCAATATTGTATCCAAGCTTAGACACTAGCTGTATAACATTAGCCAATTTATTTAACCTCTTTGTGCCTCAGTTTCCACATCTAAAAAATGGGAATAACAAATATATCTACTTTATATAGAATTCTTTGAGCATTAACCCATGGATAGGGCTCAGAACAATGACTAGCACATGGTAAGTGCTCAAAAACTATAAGCTATCATTATTATTATCTACATAGCTTCAGGTACATTGATAATGCTTAAAAAGACCCACCTAATACAGTGTGTTTAAGCATTGTGATTAATTAAAGGTAAGGTGTACTTATCCAAGCATATTTGGATTGAAATAGTAATTTAATGATTACCAACAGTAACTTAATAATTACAATATTCCTGAACACTGCACTGCATACTTATATTAATTACAACCATGATTTAATTTCACAAAGATATAGTTCAGTTGCTTTCCAATTCTACAGTATCCTTTTTGAGTGAAAAGTTGTAGGTGCTTCAAAGCAAAACACGGTACTCAAATCCAATACTAGTTTTACCCAACACAGGCTATTTTTTCACATGTGATCCTTTATTGAACAGTTTCTTTTTACAACACTACAGACCCTATAAGTGTGTTGACTCAATGCTGTCAAATTATAAGGCAAATATATTCACAAGATTCAAGGACAACAAGGCTCTTTGAGTCAATATAGGAAAAAAAAAACTTAAACTGATTTCCTGAGGAAGGGACCCAACTGACTTGTAAAAACTTGTAAATTTGCAAATCTAGTAAGTCTACATAATAGTGGCAATTGATTATCAACTAAAAAATTGTCTCCTGCTACATAAAAGGCTTTATTTAAAATTACATTGAAGGTCTTTAGTTTGTAGGCTCAAGAGATCTTTCTCTAGGAGATTTCTGATCTAGTGGGGGATTCCTGAGCCCCAGTTATATTGCTTACCCTGGATAATAGGGAGTTGTTTCCCCACCCCCCACCCTGGCCACAAGTTGCTGTTCCTTAAACATCACTGAGACCTTATTTACAAGAACAGTTCAAAAACGTCCAGATACCACAGGCATCGAATTGTGAAAGACTAAAATACTAACCTATTAGCACTGACATTTATACACCTACTTTATCAAAATATTGAAGTTAACATACTTTCCTAATTCAACAAGAGTAAGAACAAATCTTGTCAGTAGGAAAAATCCCCAATGAAATCACTACCCAATTAAATAAACATGAAGTTGTGTCATTTAATGGGCATGTGCACTTGTCTTTTCTAATGGGATAGTGTCTATCATCATTCTGTTTTTTTCTTTTTTTCCCCCCTTTCCTTCCCCTCAACTCTCCAACTACCACATAAATCTATCTATAGCTTTGAGAGATTTAATATCCAAGCAAAAGTTATTTTCCTAATAAAGATAATCATAAGGAGACTAGTTCTATCACTGGTCAATCAGAAAAAATCATTTATTCAAACAACATTAACTGAGCACCTACTATACGCCAGGCAGTGTGGTAGGCAGTGAGAACACAAAGATGAAAAAGATATAATCCAGGCCCTCAAAATATCACCACCAGAATTGTGAACATAAAAGACCATTAAGAATCATAACATGGGATCAAAGTGACAACAGCAACTTGAAAGATTAGATAGGAACCATAGGGGTCAGTGAATTTATGACAATGGAGGAGGAACAACTCAGAAAAGGAGGGTGAGAATGTTTGCACAACTCAAAGAATGTAATCAATGGCACTAAATGATACACGTAGAAACTGTTGGATTGGTATATGTTTTGCTGTGTATATTCTAAACAACAACAAAATAAATACAATTTTTTAAAAGAATCATAAAAATTAAGTAGATGAGATTCTGACAAATGAAAAAAGTACAGATGAAAAGACCTTCACAGCACTTCACTACAAAGTTTTCATCTGTTGTGTCAGAATTCACTAGTCAACATCTAAGTGGACTCAGTTAACTAGAATACTTCATTCTGAAAAACCAGAGATGTACATTCTTAAGATGGAGTTATAGTGAGACACCAGTAAAATCTCTTTTCTTCTATTTTAAGAGTATCCTTAAAATTTCTATCCAGTACCCATCTATTATATATGTGATAACACCCTTACTGTTATAATAATTTAATTTCCTTTATGTCCTTCAGTTAACTACATCATTTTTCTAGGTCTTAAAATTTATTTTCAGTGTCTAAGCAACTGAAGGACAAGGGCATTAATATTATGTACATGCAATTTCTTTTACCGCAACCATATTACACCATGCTTAAATATATGCTTAACAATTGCAGTGGATAACTGCTTTATTGATCATTCATTTATTCATTCATTCAACAAATATTTGAGTGTCTATGATGACCAGGCACCATCCTGGGTATTGCAGATGGAACAATAAGCTTACATTTTAATGAAAGAAAGGAGATCAACAAGTAAAATACAAAGTATGGCAAATGCTGATAAATGTTATAAAGAATAAAGCTGGAAAAGGGGGATCGGGGTACATGAGGGGAAGTGCTCTTAAACAGGTAGGTGAAAGACATTAAAAAGGCTAGGGTACAAGGAAATCTGGGAAAAGCCTTCCAGGTAGAGGGAACTGCAAATACAACAGCCCTAAGACAGGAGTGTGCTTGGAAGATTCAAAGAAATCCAGGAGACCAAGGTGGCTAAAATAAATTAGCAAGACAGGGAAGCAGTAGGGGATGAGGTCAGAGGGGTAAGCCAGGGGCCTGATGGCATAGGGTTTTGTAAGCCACTGTAAGAGAGATGGGAAGTCACTGGGGGGTTTGGAGGGAAAAAAAAAATAATGTAATCTGACTTACATTTTAAAAGGGTCACTCTGGTTGCTTTGTGGAAAATAAACAATAGAGGGCCAAACATGAAGCAGAAAAGCCACTGAGGCAAGAGATGATGGTAGTTTGGACCAAGATGGTAAGCAGTGGAGATGGTAAAAGTGAGCAGTGGAGACAGTGAAAAGTGGGACAGATTCTTAATATTTTTGGAATAAAGGCTGACTAGGGCATGATAATGGACTTGACATGGGATGTGAAAGATACAGGGAAGTCACTTGAAGATAACTAACCAGGATTTAAAATGACATGTGTTGCAGGTTTTGTTGCAGCCATATTCACCTGCATGGGTAGGGGTGCTGAGCAGATAAAGATTTGCATGTAAATAGAGTCGGGGTTTGCCAATCATGTACCGTTAAAACTGAAAATAGGGGCAGGTAAAGTGAAGGTAGTAAATGCAAGGGACTGATTATAATGACAGAACATGGAATCTAAGCTGAGTAAGGAGAAGGTTGAGGAAAATAAAAAGATGGTATATCAACTGATTTTAAGGTCTTATGTAGGTTTAAAAATTTCTGAGTTGAGGTATAGAGGAAGTGAGCTAGAAAGAGGAGATAACAGAGATTCGGATGTTTGAAACTGAAGCTACGGAGAGGGTACAGAAACTGGTATTGACTAGGTCGTGGGAACAACTATGTTAGTAGGGGTTGGGGGACAAGACGCCTGGAGGGAAAGAGTTCAAGGAACTGAAAGGCCAAAGTATTAGAAGGATCATCTATATGGATATTGGCATCACAAAGAATCATGACAGCAGTAGTAGTGGTAAACTGTGAACCAGGAGCCAAAATTTGTAAGAAATTCAAAGCAGTTATTCAGAGGTTGGTTGACAGCTCCAACAAATATAAGCAGCAGGAGGTATAATCTGACAGCTTGATATTCAAAGTTAGAAGTTTTTAGGGAAGATGAAGGAGAATAATCTGGAAAGAGCAATACGAAACAAGAAGGTCATCCAGTTCTAGCAGTAAGGCAGATATAGAGGGGAAAACCAACACCTGAAAGAGCTGTAGAAAAGGCAGCCCTATCCTCATTGGAAAGTCAAGTGACAGAGAAAGAATTTCAAAAAATTTGGGGAAGATATTCAAAATTTAGGGATTTTACTTTGTAAGCTCCTGAAGGTTCAGTGGAAGGATCTTAGAAGTTGAGAGGATAGAACTGGGATCTAAAAACCATATAAAATAAGAATTCAGAATGTCCTGGGCTTTCTTGTGTAGATAGCATAAAAACCAATTGCCAAAGAGTTGATTCTCTTTCATGGCAATCCCATGTGTATCTGAGTAGAACTGTGCACTGGGTTTTCCATGGCTGCTTTTTTGGAAGTGATGGCCAGGCCTATCTTACAAGGCAGTTCTGGGTGAACTCTAACCACCAACCTTTTGATTAGCAGCCAGCACATTAACTGTTTGCAGGGCCCAGCAACTCCATACATGCTGTCCTTTTTAGGTGCCGCAGGGTCGATTATGACTCATAAGGACCCTATGTACAACAGAACAAAACACTGCCCAGCCCTGCACCATCCTCACAATCATTGCTATGTTTGAGCCCATTTTTGCAGCCACTGTGTCAATCCATCTCATTGAGGGTCGTCCTCTTTTTCGCTGACCCTCTATTTTACCAAGCATGATGCCCTTCTCCAGGGACTGGCCCCTCCTGACAGCATGTCCAAAGTATGTGAGATGAAGTCCCGTCATTCTTGTTTCTAAGAAGCATTCTGGCTGTACTTCTTCCCAAAGAGATTTATTCATTCTTCTGGCAGTGCATGGTATATTCAATATTATTCGCCAACATCATAATTCAAATCCATCAATTCTTCTTTGGTCTTCCTTATTCATTGTCCATCTTTCACATGCATATGAGGCGACTGAAAATACTATGGCTTGGGTCAGGTGCACATTAGTTCTCAAGGTGACATCTTCACTTTTTAACATACTAAAGAGGCCTTTTGCAGAAGATTTGTCCACTGCAACACATCATTTGATTTCTTGATTGCTGCTTCCATGGAGAAATGTTTTAGAGTTTGGAAAATGTTATATTAATTAGGTCATATCAGAATAGGGTGGGTCCT